ACCGAAAAAAAAAAAAAAAAAAAAAAAATTACTCTTTGTTGGACCAGGTTCTTGAGAAGTTTAAACAAGTTGTCACTTCTTTAGTGTTTTTTTCATTCTTGTGTATAGCACTTCACAGTGGTAAAAAAAAAAAAAAGATAACTGAAGTCAATCTAATTGCTCCAACTTAACTTTTGTCTGTATGCTAGAATTTGCCAGAATCTTTGGCTTTCAACATAAGAATTGACTTTTAAGTGTTAATGTTGTTTTTGAGCATGACTGTTAATAGTCACTTTGTTAGCTGATCTTTGTACTTCTCTAAATGTTGAAGGAAATAGTGAGACAAACTTTGTAGATTCATCTTCCTGAAGATACAGCAATGTTGCACTTGTTATAACAGCTATGACCACTTAGCATAGTTAGCTGTATGAAATAGTAAAGAGGATTAAGCAGGTTATTTTTTATGAATGGCTGAGTATATTGTTAATCTATCAAATAACAATAATACTATTTATTGGTCTGTTGGCCAAGCATTGTGTCAGACTTCATATTTATTACTACTAATCTTCATAATAATCCCATGTGATGGTGGTATCCTCAGTTGAATGGATGTGGAAACAGACTCACAATGATTAAGTAACTTTTCCCAAGATGATGCAAATAATAAATGGTTGAGCCAGGATCTAATCCAGTTTGGCCTGTTCTTTTCTGTGCTGCTTACAGAGACGTTAGATTAGAAAACATGTCATCAATGTTTAAAAGCTTAAGAATATCAGTTAATGACAATATTTTAACTGTGTTGTCCTCCTTGACACATGAATCTGCATATATCCAGTAAGTAAATTCTGCAGTTGACCTAGCCACAAGGGCTCTCTCTGTTAACATTGCAAATAGAGATTTATCTTCACTTTCTGTACCTTACTGTCATCCATCCATGTGATTTCTATGACTCCCAACTCCTGCAACTCCTACCCTCACCACCTAATTTTACTCCTAATATTACCTACCTACCATAGCAATCTTTTAATTTGAAGCCTTTTACCCTGTCAAGAGCTTCACAGAAGCCACTGTGGAAACTCTTGCTGCCCCAGACCTGGCAGGAGCTGTGGTTAAATTCTCCCCTTAACCCTACATTCTGTCCTCATGGGAGACATAGAAAAGACCCAAGGTCCCAATTTAAGTGCTTTCATTATCCCATCTTCCCGCCTCCTGCCCTTTCACCCATCTATCATCACAGCACCTACTCTATGCTAGGCACTGGGTTTAGAACTGAAGATAAAGAAGATTGAAACACAATCCATAGCCTCAAGGGGCTCACAGTCTAACAAAGGATATAGGCGTACAAGTAAACAAATTGTAATACATAATGAAAAGTATAGCATTATAGTAGCTACCATTCATTCAACAGCTGCTCTGTGTCAGACACTGTACTAAGTATTATACTTCCTTTATTTCTTTTAATCTTGACAACAGTCCTCTGAACTAGGTAGCATCATTATTATTCATGCTTTACTTGTCATAAAACTGAGGTTCTGGGGTATTAAGTAACTCCCCATGGTCATACACTAGTCAGTGATAGAGGTAGAATGTTAGACTATATGCCTTTAAGCCCATCCATGCACTTAACTACCATATGCTATATAGCCTCCCTTGAAACATACAGGGATAAGATGGCAACAGCGTCTGGGCTGGGTTTTGAAAAATGAAATTTTTTCAGGCAGATTGGACATCAGGAACATTTCAGTCGGAGCCATAAAACAAAAATGTAGATTCCAGAAACGAATAAGCCATCTACTTTTTCAATGCTGATCTGTCTTCTTGCAGTTGCCGACCACTAAAGACAAAGAATATTTTCTAAATGCCAGGAAAGGGAGATAGAAGGAGGTAGAAAGTTAATCTCATTTAGAAGCCAAAGGAAATGTACTCAGAACTCATTTATGTATTGACAGATTGAGAAATATAATCATATGGTTCACCCAAATTATCAGTTGACTAAGCTCCTCTGGGTTCCTTGAAGCCTTGCTACCATTTACAGTATTGTTTCACACGAAAATGCACGCTAAACAGCTGATTTGAAAAGGTTTTTGGAATACAGATTTTATGTTTTCACTTGTTCTTGATGGTGATGTGTTCTAGTGGATGTTCTAGGAATAGGTAAATTTATTCCAGACTGAAGATAGTTCACTTATACTAAAAAATATTTCCCCATTATACAGCTTTGCTCAATTTTTATGTCTTAATAAAATAGTTTTAATGTGCTTTATATCCATAAAGTCTCACAAAAGTAATTCTAGTTCTATTCACTTAGTAGCTTTTCAGTGTAAAGCAAGTATTCCCCA